TAAAGCTTCATGTACCAGTATTGTAAAGCTTTATGTACCAGTATTATAAAGCTTTATGTACCAGTATTATAAAGCTTTATGTACCAGTATTATAACCTTTATGTACCAGTATTATACACCTTTATGTACCAGTATTATACAGCTTTATGTACCAGTATTATACAGCTTTATGTATCAGTATTATACAGCTTGATGTACCAGTAGTATAAAGCTTTATGTACCAGTATTATACAGCTTTATGTACCAGTATTATACAGCTTGATGTACCAGTATTATACACCTTTATGTACCAGTATTATACAGCTTGATGTACCAGTATTATACAGCTTGATGTACCAGTATTATAAAACATTTTTGAGAACAGAAAACCCCTATAAAATGTCTGACAGGTTAACACCATCTACTGGCCACGTGTGGTTATATAGCCACAATTTACTAAAAGTGCAAATGAATAAAAACAACTTTTGTGTGACAAACAGTAATATATCCTTGTTTTAAATTTCTTCAATTCTGACTTGCAAATTATTAATTTTTAATACGGGGTTATTTAAATCAATTACTGTTGCATGGAAATTGGAATCACAAATATCGTTTTAATTTTAACAAATCCTTAATGGGTACCTCTGATCTGTTTAAGTGTGAGCTGTTATTTCACACAGAGTAAACAATATGTAGGACCGCCATAACAAGGAAAGACTCAAACACAATATCTACAAAATATGACAGAATAATTTTACACACGATAAACCAAGGATAACGAGACAGGACAGAGGAACAAAAATATGTCAGGCTGTCAAAGTGACGATGATTTGTGACGTTGGGAGGAGAAATTGACAAAAGTTTAGTGTACACAACTAAAAAGACAAAAAGAAGTAAAGATCATATGAGATGTTTACACGGCCAGTAATGTGACAGTCTTACAGCCTGGGTCTGTCACCGAGCTGACAATCGAGCTGACTGTCGAGGAGTAGACAGTTACTGGCAGGGTGTCCAGCTGAAGTTGACATTTTTTGACAGTTTACAAAGGTAAATGTGACCAGTAAAAGACTTGTGGAGACTGTCTGTGACCTACAACCCATACAGTGAGGATATCCACGTCTGTGACCTACAACACATACAGTGAGGATATCCACGTCTGTGACCTACACCCCATACAGTGAGGATATCCACGTCTGTGACCTACAGCCCATATGGTGAGGATATCCATGTCTGTGACCTACAACCCATACAGTGAGGATATCCACGGCTGTGACCTACAACCCATACAGTGAGGATATCCACGGCTGTGACCTACAACCCATACAGTGAGGATATCCACGGCTGTGACCTACAACCCATACAGTGAGGATATCCACGTCTGTGACACACAACCCATAGAGTGAGGATATCCACATCTGTGACCTACAACCCATACAGTGAGGATATCCACATCTGTGACACATAACCCATAGAGTGAGGATATCCACATCTGTGACCTACAACCCATACAGTGAGGATATCCACGGCTGTGACCTACAACCCATACAGTGAGGATATCCACGTCTGTGACACACAACCCATACAGTGAGGATATCCAGGTCTGTGACCTACAACCCATACAGTGAGGATATCCAAGTCTGTGACACACAACCCATACAGTGAGGATATCCACATCTGTGACCTACAACCCATACAGTGAGGATATCCACGGCTGTGACCTACAACCCATACAGTGAGGATATCCACGGCTGTGACCTACAACCCATACAGTGAGGATATCCACGGCTGTGACCTACAACCCATACAGTGAGGATATCCACGGCTGTGACCTACAACCCATACAGTGAGGATATCCAAGTCTGTGACACACAACCCATACAGTGAGGATATCCACGTCTGTGACACACAACCCATACAGTGAGGATATCCACGTCTGTGACCTACACCCCATACAGTGAGGATATCCACGTCTGTGACCTACACCCCATACAGTGAGGATATCCACATCTGTGACCTACAACCCATACAGTGAGGATATCCACGGCTGTGACCTACAACCCATACAGTGAGGATATCCACATCTGTGACCTACAACCCATACAGTGAGGATATCCACGGCTGTGACCTACAACCCATACAGTGAGGATATCCACGGCTGTGACCTACAACCCATACAGTGAGGATATCCTCGTCTGTGACCTACAACCCATACAGTGAGGATATCCACATCTGTGACCTACAACCCATACAGTGAGGATATCCACATCTGTGACCTACAACCCATACAGTGAGGATATCCACGGATCACTAGTGGCTCCATCTGTGTCTATCAGAAAGCAGTCAAGCAAATCAGAAGATAGTTAAATGATTGGATCTCTTACTCGTTCCTTTATAAATTTAAAGTACAAAGTAATAATTGGACTCCTGGTCAACTGACTGTGTGACATATATACTATCTGGTACAGTATGGAAAGTAAAAAAAAACAATGTGAACTCATCTAGCACAAGTGCTTCAAAACCAGTTAAGCCTTACCATCTCTAAATGAAGCTTGTAAAGTACAGCTAAACCTTACAATCTTTAGAGGTAACTTGTAAAGTCCAACTTAACTTTACCAACTCTAGAGGTAACTTGTAAAGTACACCTAAACCTTACCATCTCTAGAGATAATTTGTAAAGTTTACCTCAACCTTACAATCTTTAGAGGTAACTTGTAAAGTACACCTAAACCTTACCAACTCTAGATGTAACTTGTAAAGTACAACTTAACCTTACTATCTCTAGAGGTTACTTGTAAAGTTCACCTAAACCTTACAATCTCTAAAGGTAACTTGTAAAGTACAACTAAACCTAACCATCTTTAGAGGTAACTTGTAAAGTACACCTAAACCTTACCATCTCTAGAGGTAACTTGTAAAGTTCACCTAAACCTTACCATCTTTAGTGGTAACTTGTAAAGTACACCTAAACCTTACCATCCCTTGTGGTAACTTGTAAAGTTCACCTAAACCTTACAATCCCTAGTGGTAACTTGTAAAGTACACCTAAACCTTACCATCTCTAGATGTAACTTGTAAAGTACAACTTAGCCTTACTATGTCTAGAGGTAACTTGTAAAGTTCACCTAAACCTTACCATCTTTAGTGGTAACTTGTAAAGTACACCTAAACCTTACAATCTTTAAAGATAACTTGTTAAGTACACCTAAACCTTACCATCCCTAGTGGTAACTTGTAAAGTTCACCTAAACCTTACCATCTTTAGTGGTAACTTGTAAAGTACACCTAAACCTTACCACCTCTAGATGTAACTTGTAAAGTACACCAAAACCTTACCATCTCTAAAGATAATTTGTAAAAATACACCTAAACCTTACCACCTCTAGATGTAACTTGTAAAGTACACCTAAACCTTACAATCTTTAGAGGTAACTTGTAAAGTACACCTAAACCTTACCACCTCCAGATGTAACTTGTAAAGTACACCTAAACCTTACCAACTCTAGTGGTAACTTGTAAAGTACACCTAAACCTTACCATCTCTAAAGATAATTTGTAAAATACACCTTAACCTTACAATCTTTAGAGGTAACTTGTAAAGTACACCTAAACCTTACCACCTCTAGATGTAACTTGTAAAGTACACCTAAACCGTACCACCTCTAGATGTAATTTGTAAAGTACACCTAAACCTTACCAACTCTAGTGGTAACTTGTAAAGTACACCTAAACCTTACCTTCCCTAGTGGTAACTTGTAAAGTTCACCTAAACCTTACCTTCCCTAGTGGTAACTTGTAAAGTTCACCTAAACCTTACCTTCCCTAGTGGTAACTTGTAAAGTACACCTAAACCTTACCATCCCTAGTGGTAACTTGTAACGTATACCTAAACCTTACCATCCCTAGTGGTAACTTGTAAAGTACACCTAAACCTTACCATCCCTAGTGGTAACTTGTAAAGTACACCAAAACCTTACCATCTCTAAAGATAGTTTGTAAAGTACACCTAAACCTTACCAACTCAAGTGGTAACTTGTAAAGTACACCAAAACCTTACCAACTCTAAAGGTAACTTGTAAAGTACACCTAAACCTTACCACCTCTAGATGTAACTTGTAAAGTACACCTAAACCTTACGACCTCTAGATGTAACTTGTAAAGTACACCTAAACCTTACCAACTCTAGTGGTAACTTGTAAAGTACACCTAAACCTTACCATCCCTAGTGGTAACTTGTAAAGTACACCTAAACCTTACCATCCCTAGTGGTAACTTGTAAAGTACACCTAAACCTTACCATCCACAGTGGTAACTTGTAAAGTACACCAAAACCTTACCAACTCTAGTGGTAACTTGTAACGTATACCTAAACCTTACCATCCCTAGTGGTAACTTGTAAAGTACACCAAAACCTTACCAACTCTAAAGGTAACTTGTAAAGTACACCTAAACCTTACCACCTCTAGATGTAACTTGTAAAGTACACCTAAACCTTACCACCTCTAGATGTAACTTGTAAAGTACACCTAAACCTTACCAACTCTAGAGGTAACTTGTAAAGTACACCTAAACCTTACCAACTCTAGTGGTAACTTGTAAAGTACACCTAAACCTTACCATCTCTAGTGGTAACTTGTAAAGTACACCTAAACCTTACCATCCCTAGTGGTAACTTGTAAAGTATACCTAAACCTTACCATCCCTAGTGGTAACTTGTAAAGTACACCTAAACCTTACCATCCCTTGTGGTAACTTGTAAAGTACCCCTAGACCTTACCAACTCTAGTGGTAACTTGTAAAGTACACCAAAACCTTACCAACTCTAAAGGTAACTTGTAAGGTACACCTAAACCTTACCAACTCTAGTGGTAACTTGTAAAGTACACCTAAACCTTACCAACCCTAGTGGTAACTTGTAAAGTACACCTAAACCTTACCAACTCTAGTGGTAACTTGTAAAGTACACCTAAACCTTACCAACCCTAGTGGTAACTTGTAAAGTACACCTAAACCTTACCGTCCCTAGTGGTAACTTGTAAAGTTCACCTAAACCTTACCAACTCTAGATGTAACTTGTAAAGTACAACTTAACTTTACCATCTCTAAAGATAACTTGTAAAGAAAGGTTAAACAATCTCTAGAGTTAACTGTTCCCTTGTAAAGTAAATCAATCAGTGAAGGAGAACAACCTAGATTCCTCATGATGGTACTGAGGTTATACATTTATTACCGCTAATCTTTCTGTTTCACTTGAAAGTGTCTTTTGTACCTGATCAGCTAAGCTAGAGTTCAAAGGTCAATGGTGATAAATGCTCAATAAAAATATTTACAAAAGCCATATATTTATTTTGTTTGACAGGTTTAACACAAAAATGTACTTTTGTACAATTTCCTCAGAAATCTAGATGTATAGATAGATGCCTTTGAACACTAGCCTCTGTAGTAAAAACAGGTGTAGGGTTTTACTGGTCAATTACCTGACAATAATGGCCTGGGAGTGCCCTGTGTCCGCATGTTGTGTGACTGCATCCTTGACAACTCCTTGTAGAAGGACACTAGCCTTGACTGGCCCCAGCAAGGCCTGACAGCTTGGGCGATGCTGATAGCTGTTCACAGAGATTACTACAGGACCAATCTTATTCTGAAAACAAAGGTTACAGAAATCTCTCCAGGATAGCCAATCCAATGCACTAAGAAATAGTAAAATAACCTAACTTTAGATTCTGACAAAAAGCCTAGACAGCATGAAGAGTTCACCTAGATATTTAAACCATAATGGCAAAATATTCTTATTAAAAGGAGTATTCTCATTTTCATCTCAACACTCAAAATTATGACCCAAATGACAAAACAGAATCACTATTGTCTGTGTATATGTGAACGTGGGGACACTAACCTCTGTGTATATGTGGGGGTAGGGACACCATCCTCTGTGTATATGTCGGGGTGGGGACACTAACCTCTGTGTATATGTGGGGGTAGGGACCCCATCCTCTGTGTATATGTCGGGGTGGGGACCCTAACCTCTGTGTATATGTGGGGGTAGGGACATCACCCTCTGTGCATATGTGGGGATGGGGACCCTATCCTCTGTGTATATGTGGGGGTGGAGACACTATCCTCTGTGTATATTTGGGGGTAGGGACATCATCCTCTGTGCATATGTGGGGATGGGGACACTATCCTCTGTGTATGTGGGGGGGGGGACACGTTCCTCTGTGTATATGTGGGGGTGAGGACACTATCCTCTGTGTATGTGAGGGTGAGGACACTATCCTCTGTGTATATGTGGGGGTAGGGCCACAATCCTCTGTGTATATGTCGGGGTGGGGACCCTAACCTCTGTGTATATGTGGGGGTAGGGACATCATCCTCTGTGTATATGTGGGGGTAGGGACATCATCCTCTGTGTATATGTGGGGATGGGGACACTAACCTCTGTGCATATGTGGGGATGGGGACATCATCCTCTGTGTATATGTGGGGGTGGGAACACTATCCTCTGTGTATGTGGGGGTGAGGACACTATCCTCTGTGTATGTGGGGATGGGGACACTATCCTCTGTGTATGTGGGGGTGGGGACACGTTCCTCTGTGTATATGTGGGGGTGAGGACACTATCCTCTGTGTATGTGGGAGTGAGGACACTATCCTCTGTGTATGTGGGAGTGAGGACACTATCCTCTGTGTATGTGGGAGTGAGGACACTATCCTCTGTGTATGTGGGGATGGGGACACTATCCTCTGTGTATGTGGGGGTGGGGACATCATCCTCTGTGTATATGTAGGGGTGGGAACAATATCCTCTGTGTATGTGAGGGTGGGGACACTATCCTCTGTGTATATGTGGGGCTGGGGACACTATCCTCTGTGTACCTCTGTGTATATGTGGGGGTAGGGACATCACCCTCTGTGCATATGTGGGGATGGGGACCCTATCCTCTGTGTATATGTGGGGATGGGGCCACTATCCTCTGTGTATATGTGGGGATGGGGCCACTATCCTCTGTGTATATGTGGGGATGGGGCCACTATCCTCTGTGTATATGTGGGGGTGAGTACACTATCCTCTGTGTATATGTGGGGGTGGAGACACTATCCTCTGTGTATATTTTGGGGTAGGGACATCATCCTCTGTGTATATGTGGGGGTGTGGACACTATCGTCTGTGTATATGTGGGGGTGGGGACACTATCCTCCGTGTATGTGGGGGTGGGAACACTATCCTCTGTGTATGTGGGGGTGGGGACATCATCCTCTGTGTATATGTAGGGGTGGGAACACTATCCTCTGTGTATGTGGGGGTGAGGACACTATCCTCTGTGTATATGTGGGGGTAGGGACATTATCCTCTGTGCATATGTGGGGGTGGGGAAACTATCCTCTGTGTATGTGGGGGTAGGGACATCATCCTCTGTGCATATGTGGGGATGGGGACACCATCCTCTGTGTATATGTGGGGATGGGGACACTATCCTCTGTGTATATGTGGGGATGGGGACACTATCCTCTGTGTATATGTGGGGGTGGGGACACTATCCTCTGTGTATATGTGGGGGTGGGGACACTATCCTCTGTGTATGTGGGGATGGAGACACTATCCTCTGTATATGTGGGGATGGGGACACTATCCTCTGTGTATATGTGGGGGTGGGGACACTATCCTCTGTGTATATGTGGGGGTGGGGACACTATCCTCTGTGTATGTGGGGATGGAGACACTATCCTCTGTATATGTGGGGATGGGGACACTATCCTCTGTGTATATGTGGGGGTGAGGACACTATCCTCTGTGTATATGTGGGGATGGGGACACTATCCTCTGTGTATGTGGGGATGAGGACACTATCCTCTGTGTATATGTGGGGGTGGGGACACTATCCTCTGTGTATATGTGGGGGTTGGGACACTATCCTCTGTGTATGTGAGGGTGAGGACACTATCCTCTGTGTATATGTGGGGGTGAGGACACTATCCTCTGTGTATGTGAGGGTGAGGACACTTTCCTCTGTGTATATGTGGGGGTGAGGACACTATCCTCTGTGTATGTGGGGGTGAGGACACTATCCTCTGTATATGTGGGGATGGGGACATCATCCTCTGTGTATATGTGGGGGTGGGGACACTATCCTCTGTGAATATGTGGGGGTGGGGACACTATCCTCTGTGTATGTGAGGGTGAAGACACTATCCTCTGTGTATATGTGGGGGTGAGTACACTATCCTCTGTGTATATGTGGGGGTGAGTACACTATCCTCTGTGTATATGTGGGGGTGGGGACACTATCCTCTGTGCATATGTGGGGGTAGGGACACTATCCTCTGTATATGTGGGGATGGGGACATCATCCTCTGTGTATATGTGGGGATGGGGACACTATCCTCTGTG